GCAAGTACGAAAGGTTATAATAAAAGGGAGATTTAAATAGCTTTGGTGGCATAGTGGGTAAAGTGTGGAACTTGGGCTTCCAGAAGGCCCAAGTTCAAATCTTGACTCAGACACCTACTAGCTGTATGACCCTGGACTAGTCATTTAACCACTCTCTGCCTCAGTTTCCTAATCTGTAAAAGAGGGATAATAGTCCCTTCCCACAGGGTTTTTGTAAATTCTAATGAGATAATAGGTAAAGTGCTTTGCAAATCTCAAAACAATGCGATTTGTTACCATTATTTTTCCCAATTTAAAAAGTCATTACTGGAACAGGGGGAAAGCTCCCAAAATTTATAACAAAAAGAACAAGAGACTGAGAAAAATAACCTGTATTTTTGTTATGTTTTAAGGTTGCAAAGTGCTTTGCTAGAGATGAAGCCCCTCTATGTTTTTATTAGCCCATCTAGTGTGCCATGTTTGTGAAACATTCTGCCACCACTCCTTAGTCACCCATTCACTTATAAAACAGAGCACTCTGTTCTTGACCAACATGAATTAGATAAGTTTTCATTGAAGGTCTTGTAGCTCATTATAAACATGTGCTATGATGCCCAATTTGCATATATGCCTGGAGAAACACAAAGCAGAGACCAGTTTTGTCCACTGAGCAGCTACCTAGGCAAGCCAAGAATCAAACTGATAATCTGGATGAGCACCATAAATGTTATTCTCAATGTATCTGGTTAGCTGAGTTTGGTAACAGAGTGGAATGCTAGATGCCAAGGTCATAGGTTTTGTTCAAGAATAGTGGATAGTATCTCTCACTTCATCTTGCAATCTTGCAAAAGTGTGCTATTGGTCATGGGGAAGGGGTAGTAGTCTGAACAGGAAAGTGTGGATAGATGCAAATACAATATCAATAATATTGGAAAACAGCTCAAAATTCACTTTACTGACCATATCTTACAGTACATACCAACACTATTGTCATACCACATATTGTCAGAACTTCATTCATTATTATGCTGCCTTGGACCACAATCCAAGGAGGCTTAATTACTTGTGGGACAAAAGAACTCAATGGGGTAAGGTGGTCTCACCTCAAAGGCAAATGTGAATATATATTACACAGGAGCACTTTGTGAGTAAGAAATAAGATGGTTCACACTGCTCTGCATTTGTTGATGATACAAGGAAAGGGCCAATGCAGGTCATTGGAGTGCTTCCTGGTAAGCTTTTTCAGATCCCTATGTGAGATTTACAGCAGACTGAAATTTGTTCACTCCAAGTCTGAGACAGAATAACTACTACTTGGAAGTAGAGAGGTTAAGGGCTCCTTCACCCTTCATGTCACTCAAAGGACTCAATCAGTTATGGTACCTCATTCTACCTGTTTCAGTGGAACCACTTTCTCAAATGCTTTGGTCCAAAGCGGTAGGATTTTCGGTGGTGGTGGTAAACATCCATCTGCCCAGCGTAACAGAAAAAAAAAAGTTTTTTGAAGAGCAAAGGAACTGTTTTATGGGTAGATTCTTGAAGAAGCTGAAGACAGCTGATTTTATGTTCTCACATTCCTGGGCTCTGATCCTATTGTAAGAATCAGACCTGAGAAGCAGCCAGAAGGATAAGTATGAAGAGATATGCTCCACTGAGGGTTGCTTTTGAGCAGAATACCCTGAAGCCTAGACCAGATACAAAAGGGAAAAGAAGTCAAAGTAGTCTGGTTTTTTTTGTTTGTTTGAAACATGGCTGAATTGTCCATTTTGGGTGTGGAAAAAAAAAGCTGTCAGCATATTAATGGCCATCAGATCCTCAACACCATCTCTCTCTCTCTCTCTGTCTCTCTCTCTCTCTCTCTCTCTCTCTCTCTCTCTCTCTCTCTCTCTCTCTCTCTCTCTCTCTCTCTCTCTCAGTTGCAGAACATTTGGGAGCTGCCCAATGTTGACATCCTAATTATGATCAGTTTTCCAACAGCCCAGGGCAGAATATGGGAAGGGTTCACCTGTACAACTTTCACCGCATTTCTTGGTAGTGAGTGAAAAAAGTAAGAGTTTGGAGGCATTGCAACAATCCACCAGTGATGTTACATTTAGTACACTAAGTACACAAATACCTCTTTTGCTATTATAGCAATCCTCAGTACTTTTTGGATTTGCAGAACAGTTTACAAACAGTTTATTAGTTGCTCCCAGCAGCCACCCTACCCTGGGACCCACGTCAGTGGTTTCCTCCTCAGTTTTGCAATGGAGGCAACAAGATGTGAAGGGGCTTACTTTGTGCCATAACACAAATCTCTGTTGATTCTCTAATTTAGCCCCTGAGCCGCCTCCTTGAAAGGAGATCATTTTGGACAGAAGAGGGTGGGAAGAGAAAGAATGAAAAGAAATCTGAACTTGTGACAAGAGGTTTGCCTTGACTTTCAAAAGAGGGTGTTCATCTGCTTAAACTCATTTCCCTTTCTAGTCTTCTATTATCTGACCAAGGTGAAAAGGTTGAAGTCATACACACCTGTCATTGTTCTTTTAAATGCACAAATATTTCTACTTTCAAGATTTAAACAAATTTCTTTTAAATACTCTCATCAACATTGATTAGACTTTCTTGATTAAAGGCATAGTTGAATTTAAGTGCACCTGATCATAAGTAATACCCTTCCTAAAATAGGCTCACCCAAACCTAAATAATTTGTGTTGAGAAATTAACCATTCCATTTTAATATCCTAAGTGCACATTCATTTTTTTTTATAGTTTAGTCCTTTTCATCCCACATTAAAGGGTATTCTATTTTAAATTAATACAAATAAAACTAAAGTATAGAATACTAGAAAGTTTTCAGACACAAATATTGAAAAGTCAGCCATTAAAGGATTGTGAAAAATATGTTATCAGGAAGGTGACACCTTCAAGTCACTGAATAGTAAAAATTACAGTCGGTATTAGAAAGGTATCCTTGTACCTGGGAGAAAAAAAGAACTTTGTATGAATCTTAAATGTGAGGTAAGGTGGATTTATATAGCATTGGTTTTGAAAAGAGGAGAAAAAGTCATTTTACATTTGTCAAAATATCCAAATCTGTGATGATAAATCTCTGGGCTACTCACTAAATGAAAAACAAACAAACAAGCAACAAACAGGTCTGATCTTTCAACACTGACCACTCTCTCCCCAATATAGAAGGAGAACGTTCACCCTCTTATGTATATTTTGCAGATTTGATATAATAAACTGTTTCAAAACTTCTTTATCGGAAGAAGGGCAGAGCCAGGAAGTTTATAACTCTTCCCCCCAAACACACACACACACACACACACACACACACACACACACACCCTACGCCAATGACATCAACAACAGGTCGGAACCTGACTCTTGGAACACGAGTTTCTTAATTTGAAGATTGTGCAATTTGAGTCTTCTGAGGCATGTTTCTTGTTCCAAGGAAGCTTATTGTTAGTAGGCACGAAATCAGATTCTCTCATGCTCGGTTCAGACAGAATGGCGGACCTTTACTGGGTTCTTTAAACCAGTGTTGTGTTGTTTGACTATCTACTCCCCACCCCATCCCCGAGAGGAGAGAGTATGGAGTCTTCATTTGGAAAGTTATTCCCTAAAACGATTTGCACTAGAACCCTTATAAGGGATTCCTGTCAGTTGGTTTTGAGGATTCTATAACCTATCTACTGTCTAATTCTCCAAAGAAGCCCTGGCGAACCCATTCACGATCCCAGAACTGACCCCTAGAAGTTTTAACAAAGTATTTTAAGAAGCCTGGAAAGAACCTGAAGCGACTCAGGAGCAGGAGATAAGTAAGGAAGGGAGGCTGGTAGGGAGGAAACCAAAGGTGAGCAGAGAGCGTCCCTGGCTCCACCGCTGATTCCTGCAGACCTGCGCACCTTGTAGAGCAGGGAGGGATCAAGCATAGGTCGACAATCCACTGCAGTGGGAAAGGGAGAAGGAGAGGGGGAGAGAGGGAGAGGAGGGAGACAGACAGAAGCAGATAGGCAGATACGCACGCACACACACACACACACAGAACAACAGTTAGAAAGGAGAAGCAAGACAATCCTGAAGTGCTGTGAGGGTGGCTGAAGGCGGGGAACCTGAATGTAAAAAGTGGAAATGTGGGCTGAGGGAGTCGGATCTGGAGACTTTCTCTTTTACTTAGAGGTTTAGTGTGCATAGGGGAGGGTTCGGGCTACTCCTACCCCCCACAAACCCCACCCCGGACTAGTGACAATACGGGCTACAGAAAGAGAGCAATGTGGGGGAGCAAGAACAGTCTGTCTCTTAAATTTGGAGCAGGAGTTATTAACCGGCCACAAAGCTGGTCCAGAGGACTAGACAGGTGACAGACACCCTTAATAGCACTTAACTGGCGGGACTTATCACCAGCCTGATATCTTACGCCTTCCCGGGAAGTATGAGGGCCGTCTTGCAATGATCCCGAAGAAAACTGGGGGGGAGGGGAGGAGGAGCGTCACATGGAATACTGTCCCATTATCCCTGCTGCAATATATGACCCCCAGAGTAAACTGCGGCCAATGCCAAGGCACCCCCACCCTGAGAACTCTACTTCGCTCCCCTCTCCCCGTCCCCACCCCCCACGCAGGCAGTATCCTGAGCCGGCCAAGGAGACTAAAGCCGGCTGAGAAAGTTTACTGTGCAGAGGCAAATGGAGCTCCAGTAGCTCGATAACTAGACTGAGGGCGCGTCGGTTCACAAGGTTTCCATTCCGGACCTCAATTCCCCAGCCAGAGATTCCCAGTACCCCTTCCTTTCTGGGCCAGACCGGATTGTCAGGGCAGCACCGCCAGGCTCAACCCCGACTCCCAGCTGATCTTGCAGGAAACTGGGGAGGAAAGGGGGAGCGCCGGCGGACTGAGACGAGAGAGACTGAGGGAGAGGCTAAGGCAGGGTGTGGAAAGAGGGAAGGCGAGCTGGCGGAGGGGAATCCAGGTGCGGATAGAAGCAAAGCAGGGGACATAGGGGGCGGCTGGAGGCGAAGGCAACACCTTTACCTTTCTTTTCTTCCAGCGCCGAGCTCAGGGAGAAGTGTCCGGCAAGCAGCACCAGGACAGCGGCTCCAGCAGCCCCATAGAGCCCCATTGCCTCACCGGATCGACGTGGGTCCCAGTTCGGTTGTCCCAAAGCGATCTCACGAACTAACACCTTTTCCTGGCCCGGGGCCCAGGGGAGACGGAACGCGGCTTAGGGCAGATTTCTGCCAGGTGGAGAATCAATCCCAAGGAGGCCGGCGCGTTTGCCTTTTGCTTTTCTTCCTTTGGCGTCGGAAAGCTCCCCTTGAGCCTTCTCTGCCTCGGACTCCGGTTGCCCGGCAGGCTGGCTTAGCAGACCATGCCGAGAAGCCGCTGCTGAGGCTACTGGTGCTTCTCTGGCAGCCAGAATTCCAGGAGGGCGGGGAGGTGGAGAAGGAGGGGGAGGAGTGAGGAAAGGAGGCGGTGCCGCTTAGCTGCCCCTTAGCCTGGCTCTGTGCTGTGCGGTGCTGTGCCGTGCTCTCTCGCGCTCTCGCGCTCGCTCTCTCTCTCTCTCTCTCTCTCTCTCTCTCTCTCTCTCTCTCTCTCTCTCTCTCTCTCTCTCTCTCTCTCTCTCTCTCTCTCTCTCTCTCTCTCTCTGTGCGTGCGTGTGTGTGCTGTGCGTGCGTGTGTGTGTGTGTGTGTTCCTGTGTGTTCGCGTTCGTGTGTTCCTGTGTGAGCCGGAGCTCTAAGCGCGCTGGGCATCAGGGGTGGGGGTTGGGGGCCAGACAGGTTGAGGGGTGGGGGGTTGTTGTCAACTCCCAGTCCTTTGGCACACACGTGTGCGTGTGGGCTCAGTTTTTTTCTTTTTTCTTCTTCGAGGGATTGAAGCACTGTGCTATGTAACAGGAACTACGGGGAGGCTACCTCTCTTAGTAGTTCCACCCCCATAGGGTTCTGGGACAATTTGGACAGTTGAAGATGCACCCTGCCCTCTGGTTGCATCTGCCACAAAAAAAAGAGGAAGGATAGAGCTGCTTTTCTCTTCCCATAGCCTCCCTTCGCTCTCTGGGTTGGAGGTGAGGAAGAGGTTCACTACAGAGCCATGAGTCGTGGGTTACTGAAGCAAACGTTTCCCCAGCCTCATTTACTTTTCAAAAAACAAAACAAAACAAAACAAAACTTGTTCAGTTCCTAATATTTCTCATCACATTTCCCTCCTCGCCCTTTTAGGGTATGCAGGCTAGGAAATCTCTGCTAGGTGACCCAGAGCTCAAAAGTCCTATGTTTAGGTAGAAATTGAATGGCGAAGATTAGTGGAAAGGTAGCCCGATTTTAAATCCCAGGTCAGAAGTAAGAAGACCCAGCCTTTTTAAAAGCTGGTAACTGAATGTAACAGAATGTCTGAAAGTTATAGAGCTTAGGTTGTGATTTTGGGAAAATACAGCAAAGGGGTGAAGGAAACAAACAAAGGATAAAGATAAGACTGTGGATTGTTCTGTAATGACCATTAGTCAATTATCTCCATACACACATTCTTCCTCCATATTCTCATTACATATGTGTGTGTATATATGTATAAAAATGGAAAATCACCAATTATTTTGTTAAGGAAATAGGAATCCTTCCTGATGTCACCATGGAAAGAAGATTAAAGTGCTCCAGAGCCATTCCCCTTTCTTTTTAATGCATTGATTTTTTATCTGCTAAAGAATTAATGTCATGTAGCCCTTTTGCCTCAGTTTATCATGAAGATTTAACCAAGCTTCCTCTAATCTCCTACCCCATCCCTCAAAGTTCACAAATAATTCCCAAGTGTGTATTAACTACTATCATAGCAGTAAAACCGATTTTTCCAAGTTCAAAATTAGGAGGCAAAGAAGGAATAAAACAAAAATTAGTCATAGCAACACAAAGCAGTGCTTTTTATTTCGGTTCTCCAAGGCCATGTCTCCAAGACATGCATTTTGCCATTTGAAACCCCCCCCCCCCACTGCTGGCCTATGATCTCTTCTCTCTCTCTCTCTCTCTCTCTCTCTCTCTCTCCTTCTCTCTCTCTCTCTCTCTCTCTCTCTCTCTCTCTCTCTCTCTCTCTCACACACACACACACACACACACACACACACACACACAGAGGCAGGGTTGAGTTTGGCTTTCAGCAACCTGAATCATCTTGTTTGCACCCATGATGGCAAAGTGCATAAAACCTGGGATCAGTACCATGGCTCAGGAAGTAGAGATTATAGTGGTGCAGTAGCTATGAATTATAATTATTTCCCCCTTTTAAAATTTCACCCTTAGAAATAGACCTTGGTGAATGGCACAGAGAGTCCTTGGGTGGGATCGGGGGAAACTTGATTAAAGGCTATTTGACCAATTATTTAACATCAAGATTATTTAATAGTAAGATTGCTTCTATAAGGTTAATATGAAACTAATTATAAAAGGAATAAACCCAGCCCTTAGCTGCCTAATTACAAATGATTTTTGAGATGGTGGTATTAAAAAAAAATCAGATTGTCTCCCACATCCATATCCTTCTCTCCACTAAAAAGGCCACCACTCTATTCTAGGCCACCAGCACTTCTCACCTAGACTATAGTAATAGCCTCCTAATTGGTATCCCTGCCCTCTCTTCCTTCTCCAAGCCATCCTCCATAAAAATGTGAATATAATTAAAGACTTAATGGGTGAAAAAGAGAATTAATGCTGGAAGTAACCTTAGATACAATCTAGTCAAGTTCCCTTATTTTGCAGATGAGGAAACTCAGGTTAAGTGATTTACTCAATGTCACACAGGTTTGGGACATTTGAATCATGTTATTTGATTCCGAAGTCCATACATCTTCCCTTACGCCACGTTCCCTTTTCTTTTCTCATATTCCCTTTTCCTTAGATAGAGGTCTGACCATGTCATTCCCTTGCTCAACAATCTTTTCTGGCTCCCTACTGCCTCTTAAAAAATGTCATTTAAGGTCTTCTGCAATTGAGTTCTCCTTTTCAACCTTATTTCACAGCATTTCCTTTCACCTATTCTGTTCTAGCCAGATTGGATGACTAGCCATTGCCCAATTTAATATTCTGTCTTTGATTCCCATATATTGGAACAAATCATGCACCATGCCTATAATGCCTCTTCATTTCAGAAGCCTAAACATTGAGGCTCAATCTAAGTGCTACTTCCCCCATGAAGTCCTTTCTGGGCCTTCCCTTTCCATCAAATTACGTCCTATTTCCTATGTATATGTTGTATTCCCCCTGTAGCATGTAAGGTCCTTTTGGGAAAGGACTATTTTTCCTGTTGGTATCCTGAGCACCTATAACCGATGCCTTGAGCATGGAAGAGGCTTTAAAAATGTTGAAGTGATTGTTGAAATAACTTAGAGCTTTCTGTTCTTCGTAGGCTCATTGGACAATAAGAACACTGATTTAGAAAAGACGTCTGCGGTCATCTAGTTTAAATGCCTGATTTTACAAATAAGGAAACTGAAGCCGGGAGAGATTACATGGTTTACCTTTGGTTACATGGGTAATGACTATCATATTCTTTCCCCAAGCCCAGATCCAGCAATCTCTCCTTAAGATATTCAATCTGCACAAAGCCTCTCCACTCTTTGTTTACTAATCTAAGACCTGACTTGGGGTTATTTGCTTTGATATGGAAGGAACCTTGGAGAAGAGTTTGTTTAATCCCTTTACATTCTAGAGATAGGAAGAAGACAACCGAAGAAGAGATTTGACTTGTTCAGTGTCACACAAGTAGTAAGCAGCATGGTGTCTGGCTTCAAATCTAGCTCTTTGTACTATGGCTCTAGACAAAGTTGAGGAATTTCCATCAGCTGGAGGGGAATCAGGGAAGATTTTGTGGAGAAAGTGCTGCCTAAAATGAAACCAAAAGGAAGGAAAGGAGTGATGAGGAAGGGATGTGCTTTAGATGTGAGTAAATGCCTGAGTAAATGCATTGAGGTTAGAGTGCAGGATGGTCTAGATCAGGAAACTTCTGATAGCCCAGAGTGTGTGAATGCTAATAAGGTGAGATAAGACGGGAAAGGTAGGTAGATGGTAGAAGGCCCTAAATGCCGGGCCGCGAAGTTTGTAATTATGCACATTGTAGTCTCATGTTGTTTCTTTGTAAGGAACTGCATTCTCCTTGTATTAAAGACACTGTAGTTTGTTAAGATGATATCACAAAGGAACATGTAATTTATGACTGTTCTGACGCACTTCCATGCATGAAATAATCCTCATAAAAACAATCAGGTCTTGCCATTGACATCTGCGTTAGCTTAAGGATGATGATGAAGTTCAATATGTTCGTAATTTTTCAGAGCTTAATACTCTACAACACTTCCCTAGAATGTTGAGTAAAGAAAAGTATGTTAAATCTTGCCTAGAAAAAAAAATCAATTTTCGCTGAACTTTTGGAATCCAGCTCAACCAGTATTTATTGAGTACCTACTACATGCAATGCGCTGGACTAATCACTGAGCTCCTCCCCAAACACAAAATACCTCACAAAAAGTCAGCTGCTGACCTTTAGGAGCTGAAATTCTATAAGGGACATAATACATAAATAGCTGAAGCCTGAGTGTTCCAAGGTGAAGCGGTGGATAGAGCATCTAGCCTGGAGTAATGAAAATTCATCTTTGAGTTCAAATCTGGCCTCAGATGCTTACTAGCTGTGTGATCTTCACTTTCACCCTTGTTTTGCTTCAGTTAGTCATCTACAAAATGAGGTGGAGAGAGAAATGGCAAACCACTCCAGTATCTTTGCCAAGAAAACCCCAAATGGGGTCATGGAGTTGGACATGACTGAAATGACTAAACAACAAAAAGTGTTTCAAAAGGCTTTGATAGTTTAAGATTGCACTAAGACCTTTGGGACACTGTGTACATACACGATAACTGGATATGGAAGGAATGAGCATTTACAGCTGAGGGGATCAGGAAAGGCTGGCAGTAAGACAAGGTCCATGAGCTGAAAATTGATGGAAGCTAGGAGTTCTAATGATTCTTGGATCTATATACCCCAGGACGGAGATTTCTTACTCTTCTTTGTCTTTTTGTCTCAAGCAATTCAACCCCTGTTACTTGCCCTTTTATAAGAAACTGTATCTTCCCCTCACTTCCAGCTCATGTTTGCTTTTGAATAAATAATTCCTGAGGACGAAAAACAAATGATTACCATTTCAGAGATCAAATAATACCATACAATTTGGGGGTACTGAGGAGGGTTGGGATATAGCATTGTGGCTAGTACCTTTGAGTCAAGAAGACACTGTATAACCATGGGGAAATCAGTCAACCTTTCTGAGAATCACTTTGCTCACCTGTAATATGGAGATGATATATGTGATACTTTATTTCATAGTCATTATTCAAATGGGGTGGTATCTAAAAACTGCCTTACACATTTTAGAATGCTAAACTAATATTAGTTATTAGAAACACTGTATTTCAGAACTGGAAGAGACCTCAGTGGCCATCTAATTCAATCCAT